CCGATGAAGGGTGTGGCTGAAGTCACGCACGAGAGGACCCAGGCACGGATGGCACCGCACACTTTGTCACACAGTACCTTAGGTCAATCTGTTGGATTCCATACCTGAGGGATCTGAATACTCTGAAACCTTATTCAATACTATTATTCACTCCCCTTCGATTTGCATAATCCTCTAGCCATCGTGTATTGAGTGAGATAGTATAGGTCAGATATGATTAATTCGGAAGGTTATATATGTCTTCAATATCGACAAAATATGATTGAGACTTTAATTCAACACAATATGCCATATCTCTGCTAGAAGAAATGTATTTACACCCACCCATATATTTTCATATACAATACATTTGCATATACACTTACATATACACATGCATATATATTTACATATACATTTCTTGCTGCGGTTGTGACATATTGTTTATCGTCGACAGTACGTTATGTAAATTCGAAACTATTATAGACGCGTATGATTCTTTTTAAAAATGAAAAATATTTACTGCCCTTGCTGCAATGGAAAAATTAATGGGAGGCCCCATTAAGTTGATAACGTGATAATCCTGTTGAAGGACTGATAAATCCGAAAGCTTGAAAATAAAAAGTTGCACAAGAAACTTAACCATGGAAGCTTCATTTATTTTATAATAACCAAGTGTGAACAGCCTCTGTCTCCTTAAAAAAAATAGACAACGGGCGACATCAAATAGTTTTCAATTCCTCAAGTTTTGTCTATGAGAGTATGTGTACTTTTGAGAATGACCTTCAAATGATGAAACGTCTTCATCCATGCAATCCTCTTGGATTTCTCTGATTTCTAGAGTAAAAAAAGAACTTATGAATTCACGACTTTGCGTCAATCTCACATATTGAGTAAAACTGAATGATCTCACTCAACGTCTCTCTGGCGTTATGTCTTGAGTACAGGCTTCCACTTGGAGCAGTTAGGTGGAATCCCATCAAAATTCATCTTTATTTCTCTCTTTCTCTCTGTGGGTCTATCTTTTATCTATTGATATTTGTGCTGTCCCTCTATCAGAATATTTATCCAGGAGTTATTTAACAACCTACAGCCTTCCCCAGGACCTACAGAATTGGATATTCGGATATAGATTGGAAGACTACGCTGTCGCTAATATATCCCGGCAAAGTCATCAATCCATTAACCAATATTCCTATACGATTTTATATAAATATTCTTCTATTTATAAAAGAAATTAATTTTTGTGATTCGATATATGCAAATTAAAGATGACTATTAAATATCAAATGTGATTGAAACTATACATTCAAAGTATTATTTGTTTATTTTTGCTTATTTTATCGTGACCTATATTTAAGATAAATTAATTTGAATCGATATATGCAAATAAAAGATGACTCAAATATCTTTCAAGTATATACGAATAAAAATAAAACGATAAGAGGAGCTTCTTTTATAAATTTTAGTGCGCAAGCTTTCGGACCTAACGTCTTTCTACAGGCATGGATAGTGGTAATACTAACAAGTATAACCTAACATTGAGCCATAATAAAGAGGACAATATTTACATAAATATATCTGTAGAAACTAAAAGGAATATAATGAATTTATGACTTAGAATTTGCATGTATGAGATTGGATAACTAAAAGAAAAAGAAAATTACAATTTGAACTGAAAATATATAATTAAAATTAACAATCCAAATTTTACATATATGACATATGATATACTACGGTATAATCTAAAAATTAAATATAGAGATTAAAATATGTACAACTTAGCGATCAATAAAATTGGGCCAGACACCAAGATATAGGAGAACAGGGGGTCCCACCTACATGTGTTTAAAATGGAACAGAATAGTATATGATTATTTGTAAAGAACTTGGTATATGTCTGGGATATCTATTTTTCTATTAATGCTGTTGATTTGGTTGGATATGATTGACTCTAATAAAGTCTATTGTATCAATTATTATTAAGCTATATAAAGGTCGCAGTCACGGTTCGGAGGAGATTAATAGAATCGCCGAATGTCGTGGTCTATTTGGATGAGGAAAGTGAAGACTAGAACATAGCTGATTCCACACTTAGTCTGTTTAGTGATTCGCTAACCAATGCACGGTGTGGCCATTGGACATGTGTCGGACCTGGAGGCTGTTGTTGGGTTTTGTGCTGCCTGGAATATAGGAGCTCCATCTATGCTTCCTTCCTGTGGTAAATCTGTATAAGACCCTGGAGGCTGTTGTTGGGTTCTGTGCTGCCTGGAGTATAGGAGCTCTATCTATGCTTCCTTCCTGTGGTGAATCTGTATAAGACCCTGGAGGCTGTTGTTGGGTTCTGTGCTGTCTGGAGTATAGGAGCTCTATCTATGCTTCCTTCCTGTGGTGAATCTGTATAAGACCCTGGAGGCTGTTGTTGGGTTCTGTGCTGCCTGGAATATAGGAGCTCCATCTATGCTTCCTTCCTGTGGTGAATCTGTATAAGACCTGGAGGTTGTTGTTGGGTTCTGTGCTGCCTGGAGTATAGGAGCTCCATCTATGCTTCCTTCCTGTGGTAAATCTGTATAAGACCCTGGAGGCTGTTGTTGGGTTCTGTGCTGCCTGGAGTATAGGAGCTCTATCTATGCTTCCTTCCTGTGGTGAATCTGTATAAGACCCTGGAGGCTGTTGTTGGGTTCTGTGCTGTCTGGAGTATAGGAGCTCTATCTATGCTTCCTTCCTGTGGTGAATCTGTATAAGACCCTGGAGGCTGTTGTTGGGTTCTGTGCTGTCTGGAGTATAGGAGCTCTATCTATGCTTCCTTCCTGTGGTGAATCTGTATAAGACCCTGGAGGCTGTTGTTGGGTTCTGTGCTGCCTGGAGTATAGGAGCTCTATCTATGCTTCCTTCCTGTGGTGAATCTGTATAAGACCCTGGAGGCTGTTGTTGGGTTCTGTGCTGTCTGGAGTATAGGAGCTCTATCTATGCTTCCTTCCTGTGGTGAATCTGTATAAGACTTGTGGTCTTAATAAAGCTGTATGTGTGTTTGATTAAACTATATATTAAAAGTATCATTTGTATATTTTCGGTTGTTTTATCGTGTCCTTTTCTTTAAAAAAGAAAAAGAGGATATGAGAAATGAAAATAATTTTGATATCAATCTGATATGAAGGTTTCGCCAATTGAATCCCCGAGTTTTGTAGAAAGGAGGCTTCTGATTCCAGAAGGTCGAGTGTGAAGAGAGGATAGATCAGGGGAATAGGGAGGTTACTTAATTAAGACGTGATTATGCCCGGCTACACTGTGATATTAATTAATTAACGATTCCCGTGGAATTCCCCAATTATCCGCCAACGCGCCAAATTTCACTGAACCCAGGAAGCCGTGGCAGTTCTCTGTGATTGGTCCACTATGTAAATAGGTTGAGAAACATAAAATATATTTATGAAGATATTATTTTAAGTTTATCTGGGCTATTGATTAGTCACACACACAAAAGCCTTTATTAGGGGCTTGCTCTATACAGATTCTCCCAATTGTGTAAGTTAATAATCATATTGTGTTATTTACATAGGTCAATTAATTTTAATTGCCATCTATCGATAATATATTACACAAATAAATTTACTGGCAATGTGTTTCTTTTAAATATCATCAAATATTATCACTACAGACCTTAGTGCAATGATATGAGTTATTGAATGAGAGGGCTTGGCTCATCAGTAGCATATCATTGCAGTGAGGTCTGTAGAGATAATATTTGATGATATTTAAAAGAAACGCATTGCCAGTAAATTTATTTGTGTAAAATTTTATTTACATAGGTAGTAAGATAGAAATTGAACTGGCATTACTCTTCATCTCAAAGTCATTCACTTGTTGACTGGTCCTTACATAATGATGATCTAAAAAATGTATAGTAAGCTATTGCCTTAGATTTGTTTGCTGATATTTTTGAAAGCAATACGTAGGTTGAAGTGTTGGTACATTCAATTTGTTGATATAGGGCCTTCCTCTCTGCATCAAGGGCTGTACAATAAAGCAGGTAATGGGGAAGTTCTTCAGTAATTTCCTTGGCTATTGGTTAGTCTTTGTCTCTCTCTCTCTCTCTCTCTCTCTCTTTATATATATATATATATATATATATATATATATGTCGTATTCCTTAATATTGATAGTAATTTTTCCGAGAATAAATTAATCTATAAAAATAAATGTCGCCTCTCCCGTCAAAATAGACGCTAAAACTAAGCGTCATCTATTAACCGTTTCCGCAAACTAGCGGACTCAGGTCGGTGACAAAGCCACAACAACTTTGGAAAACTGAGAAGTGTCCACCTAGAAACCAAGGTTTCGGGCTAATGGCTCTCTTCAGCTTAGGAAGGACTTTATTTCATAAGATCCACAAGGGAATTTCCCTCCGGCAAAATTCTATCTATATTTTGGCCATAGAATTGACCTAGCCGCTCTACCAGCTAAACACCTCTTTGGCAGATTGTGAGGATTCCATTTGGTGTCTTGTTTATCAAATGAAATAAAGTCCGAGCCTATACTGACAAGGGCCATTAGCCTGAAACCATGATCTCCAGATGGACGCTTCTCAGTTTGCTAATGCTGGTGTTGTGGCTTTGTCACCGACCCAAGGCTGCTAGTTTGCGGAGACGGTCAGTATATGACGTCTATTGTTGACGTTTATTTTGACGGGGGAGAGATGCGAACTTTTTTAAATATCTTAATCTTGAATTATTTTCTTTATTTCTTCATAACTTCCCATCCAGTCCACCACTCGAATTCTTTCTACCGGTCTATTTTCAATATCTTCACCTTCCATAACTTTCTTCATCAATATATGTAAATATATCTCCCGAATCTATTTCTTATTTCTTTATCTGATGACCTCCAACAGACCTTGATTATTTCTGAACTTCTTTTGATCATACAAAAATATCTTTCTCAGTTTCTCTGTCCTTCAACAGGTCCAGTTTCCAGTGACGTCATATTTCTTTGTCGGAATTCGACGGTTTATCCATAGCAAATGCCTACAGCATCTCCAAGTGGTCACCCTCCCAAGTACTGACCGGGGATGACATTGCTTAACTTCGGTGATCGTATGAAAACCGATGTTTTCAATGTAACTTCAGAGGTACTGTGGATAAAAAATACCTAAAAATCACTTTTTTAACTGTTCCAGTCAATGGTACAGATACTAGAATCCTTATACGTAATATAGGAACGTATATAGTAGATCAACGGATATACGGCACCTATTACAATGGACATAAGGAAACTTCATTTTTAATACATCCAGATGGCACTAGAACCTACATGACAATTGTACTGAAAATGGGGACTAACGCCTACACACATATTCTCATTTACAGCAATAGCCACTGCAGAAAATTGGCATGGGTTCAGAACAGCAGCTTTACATACCCAAGATAGAGAACATTGCTGTGATAAAGATGTATGGAGACATCTGAGGCTCTTCATTGGACACGACAACAACAACACAATACAGTATACACACCCAAGATAGAGAACATTGCTGTGATAGAGATGTATGGAGACATTTGAGGCTCTTCATTGGACACGACAACAACAACAATACAGTATAGACACCCAAGATAGAGGACATTTCTGTGATAGAGATGTACGGAGACATCTGAGGCTCTTCATTGGAAACGACAACAACAACACAATACAGTATACACACCAAAGATAGAGAACATTGCGACTGCTGTGATAGAGATGTATGGAGACATCTGAGACTCTTCATTGGACACGACAACAACAACAATACAGTATACACACCCAAGATAGAGAACATTGCTGTGATAGAGATGTACGGAGACATCTGAGACTCTTCATTGGACACGACAACAACAATACAGTATACACACCCAAGATAGAGAACATTGCTGTGATAGAGATGTACGGAGACATCTGAGGCTCTTCATTGGACACGACAACAACAATACAGTATACACACCCAAGATAGAGAACATTGCTGTGATAGAGATGTATGGAGACATCTGAGGCTCTTCATTGGACACGACAACAACAATACAGTATACACACCCAAGATAGAGAACATTGCTGTGATAGAGATGTATGGAGACATCTGAGGCTCTTCATTGGACACGACAACAACAATACAGTATACACACCCAAGATAGAGAACATTGCTGTGATAGAGATGTACGGGGACACCTGAGGCTCTTCATTGGACACAACAACACAATACAGTATACACACCCAAGATAGAGGACATTGCTGTGATAGAGATGTATGGAGACATCTGAGGCTCTTCATTGGACACGACAACAACACAATACAGTATACACACCCAAGATAGAGAACATTGCTATGATAGAGATGTACGGAGATATCTGAGGCTCTTCATTGGACACAACAACACAATACAGTATACACACCCAAGATAGAGAACATTGCTGTGATAGAGATGTACGGAGATATCTGAGGTTCTTCATTGGACACGACAACAACAACACAATACAGTATAAACACCCAAGATAGAGAACATTGCTGTGATAGAGATGTATGGAGACATCTGAGGCTCTTCATTGGACACGACAACAACAACACAATACAGTATACACACCCAAGATAGAGAACATTGCTGTGATAGAGATGTATGGAGACATCTGAGGCTCTTCATTGGACACGACAACAACAACAATACAGTATACCACACCCAATATAAAGAACATTGCAACTGCTGTGATAGAGATGCACGTAGACATCTGAGGCTCTTCATTGGACACAACAACAACAATACAGTATACACACCCAATAATATTGCAACTGCTGTGATAGAGATGCACGGAGACATCTGAGGCTCTTCATTGGACACAACAACAACGACAAAAAGGAAACTTGTACTTTGTCAACCAGATAGGACAGGCGGTTGTATGAAAAAAGACACAGGAAGTGCTGCAACACAAGATAAACGTCTTCCTCTTTAAAATGGCGTCTGCTATCATATTTTTAGGCGGGATATTTCTTATAGAGCACAAGATCACTGGATATGTGTTTGAAATATTTTAGAAAATTCTAACCTAAGAGTGGGAAAATAGAACAACAATCAAATATACTAACTATTATTATAATTATCATAATTATTATAATTATTATGTCGCATTAGAAAAATACGTGAAATTATTAATCGATACTTGGTAAAAATCGAGTAACCTATTAAAGTTTATAATCAAAAGAAAAATGCATATCCTTATCGTGACAACTGAATGTTGCTGATGGCTTGCGCCATCTATCGGAATAAATATTAACTGTTTGTTGATTTTTTTAATATTATTCCAATATATTGGCCGAATACACTTATTTGATGAACAATTGGCTCATATTCTCGGTTAAAAATAAAAAGATTTAAAAAAATCAATTGATTTGTTGCTAATTATTCCGACAGATGGCGCAAGCCATCAACAACTTTCAGTTACACGATCATAAAATGTCTCAATCTTAATTTATAAACCTGATCTCAGTACAATATTTCACTTCTTTACTATTTGTACTATGAAAAAAAAATCAATAGAAAAAATAAAATAAAATAAAAAGGTCAGGTGTTGATATTAAAAATAATGTGTTTTCATGTGTTAATCGTATTTACGCAAGTTTGGCCTTAAATATCCATTTCTTGGTTTCTCAAGAAGCCTCTGGGACTAAAAATATTTTGGTCACAGTGGTGCAGCCTGCTCCACGCTGACGAAGGCTAACAGCACGAAACGCGTTCGTTAATGGCTTTTCTTGATTTATCAAATAAATGGGTTGGCCAAATATCAGGGAACAAGTTAAATCAATGTTTAGTTGATTTCTGTTCAACTAGATGGCGCTCTGCCATCTAAAAAGCACATGTGCTCCTGGTCAGGATATGCTTTCATTATTTTTATTTATGCTATATATAAATTAGTTGAAAGTTTATAAATATTTCATTAAAATTGAAGTAATACAACTTGTATATATATTAAAAAATAGACGTACTATATTTGTGAATTAAAAAATAATTTAATGATTGGGAGTTTGTTTTTAAAAAAACGAATATGCAAATACGTCGCCCGTTCTTGAGTTATTCATATCCGGACATTTCGACGACTCAGTGCCGCCTTCTTCAGTGGAAGGCAGTAAATCACCGAAATGTCTGGAAATAAATAACTCAGGAACTGTTGATTTATTTACATATTCTTTTACACCCCCGTTGAACCATTATGGCTTCCATTATAATAATAATACATAAAAATGCGCACTAAAAAAAAACAATAAATAAATATTATCTCCAATTTGCATTAGAAATATTATTATAAACAAAACTTCAATTTTTTTTCAAATTTGAGCACAAAAATGTATATTTTTCAGAATCTTTTAACATTTCTCTTCCTCTTTTTTCTACTCTAATTCTCTCCTGACCTTTTTTTTCTCACTATGTTCCGCATATATGACACGTAACTGCCGAAGCTCTTGAATGAACCTTGTATACTCTTTAAATGTTTAGAAAAATAATAAGAAAGATTATAAAATATATTTTTTAAAATCTTTCCCTATTAAGAAAAAGGCATCTCCTTATCGGTGCAACTGAAAGTTGCTGATGGCTTGCGCCATCTATCGGAATAAATATCAATTATTCTCGTTGATTTTTAATTATTCCAGAATTGGCCAAATAGTTGATATTTATTCCGATAGATGGCGCAAGCCATCAGCAACTTTCAGTTGCACGATAAGGAGATGCCTTTTTTAATAATTTATGCACCTTATCCCAATACAATATCACATTTGTACTATTTTTTCCCCTACGCTATTAGCTTGTTTATTATTTAAAAAAACGCAAGCTTTCAAGCTCTCTTGGTCTTCGAAAACTTGCGGTTTTTATAATAAACAAACTCATTACGAGAGAAAGATTTCTGATCTTTTTATGAAGGTATATCTCAATTTTCTTATATTTGATTTTTTTAAATAATACTTTGAAATTTCTAACATATATACCTTATATCATGATATTTTCCAAATTCTCCTTTTTTGCATATTTGTCTCTTTCAATTAACAGAGTACCGGCTGCATCAAAGACTTTCCACTTCCTTAAGTTAAAAATTAAAATGTAAATATGTAAATAGATATGATATATATATTGGAGTAATAAAAATGACGTATCAATATTAATATGCAAAATTGAAACAATCAAAGATGTATTAATGATCTTACTAAAGAATAAAAATAAAGATTTTTTTATAATCAAATAAATATTTAAAATTCATATAAAAAAATAAATAAGATGAAATTACTAAATATACGTTTTTAATTTCACCTTGTACACAGACAAATTCATTCTATAACAAAAATACATATTAGGTATTAAAAAAATAAAGAATTGAAAAATATAGTTTTGTAATAAAAATAGATTACATTATTTCACTTTAATTTATTATTTTCCACACATCCTATTGAAGAGATTGGAATAATAATAAAAAATGATTTTAAAAAAAACTCGTTTATATAGAGTTGGCAATGTTCCAGGTAATTCACATCTACTTTAAACAGAAACGGCTTCGCGTTCACTGATTTATAGATAAAAAATATTTCATTTTGTTACAATAATTCTTACAAAAAAAAAAAAATTTTTTTTACAAAAATTTATTTTAGGAATAATTTAAAGACCTATTAAGAGATACATTTCCTAATATTTAAAAAAATGTAAATTAAAAGAAAAAGATTTTTTTATCAAATTATGATAGAAATCATTAATAAAGAGCTAGAAATAAGGGAGAACTAATTGTTTTAAAAGCTAAAATAAAATGAAGGATTAGAGTTAAAAGGGCAAAGCAATTATCAAATTCTTTTTTTTTTTTTTTCAAAAATGCAACCATTATTTTAATCTTTTAAATGGCGAGTGGATTTTTGCTTAAAACCCCGTCCCCGAAATGGTATTAAGAAGTTCTAATAAAAATTATCCAATTAGAGTTTTAAAATATCTAATTAACCTATTAATTTGAGTTTAATTTAATTTGTCTTTTATTTATAAAAAATAATTATTTTTTTGTATTATTATTAATATTTATGTAATATTGTAGTCCCTCCTTTTGTTAGATATTGTTAATGAGAGAATTATTTTTTTCAGTTGA